TGGATCAAAAGCGATTAAATGATTTGGTGTTTATTAAGTTCAACCAGATGCTGAAAGAGAGTTTTGATTCACACAGTTACACCGATCCCATCTCTCTAAAGGATATTGATGAAAGTAATGAGTGGTTATTGGGAGAGATGGATGGGGCTGAAGATGATTTGGTGTTTGATGATGGTGATTCATTAACATGGGGAGATGTTGCTCATGCTTCTGGAGTTGAAGAGCCACTAAGATATACAAGATCTAGAAGCTCAAGCTCAACTTCACAGTTACGAGCCAAATGGCCCAAGGCAAACAATTCCAAAAGACCTAGAACATCAAATTCCCAACTTCATTTGGAAGATGAAGATGAATTTGACATAGAAGAAGAAACAGAAGAAGAGAATATCGATGATTACAAATCTGATGAGTATGAAGATGATATGGAATTTCCAAATGAAGAAGAGGGAAATGATGAGGAAGAATGAATGCTAGAAGCTTGAGGAAAAAAGAATCAAGAATGGATGAATGGAGTCAATGGACATATGAGAACATATGATTTTGAGATTTTTGTATAGGCAGTAAACTTGCTTTTTGTATAGGTTGTGCTTTGTGAATGGTGACTGATGAAAGAACCTTTTTTTATATTAGAAAATTGATATTGCATATTTAAATACTTAATATATAGCTTGTTTTTTGAAATATTTTTCAAATCTGATTCCTTACTTGCTTATTACAATAAATGGTTAATTTTTATATTGATTTTGTTACGTGTGAGTGTAACGGTGTGAGCCATGGAGAGGATACTGATACCAAGAGGTAAGTGTCTTTTAAGTGTTAACTTCATTAATGCTGACTATCTAATGTTGTATAGGTTGTGCTCATATGTCATATTCTTTAATTCTTTTATATTTATATTTTATATTTTTATATTGAATCATTGAATTTGAATGTGTTATACATACTGTTCTGTTATTTTTTTTGTAGACTAATCTCCTTTAATTATTTAATGCTGATTTCTTAATTCTGTACTTATTGCATATTTTCCTGATTAATCAATTGAATCATTTCTGATTGCATATTCTTTAATTCTTTTATATTCAATGCTGATTGCATTTGCATATTCTATAATTCTTTTATATTTAATCATGCTGATTTCTTAGTTTTTATATTGATAGATTCAAGATTGATCATTGATAATTGCATATTTGCATATTTTCCTGATTCATTAACTTCAGATTGCTGATAAGCTGATTACATTACCTCTAATGAGTAATGATCTAAGTATCTAATTCTAACCAATTGAGCTAATAATTAAGTAATTAACTTTGCTTTTTGATATTTTCCTGATTTCTTAGAATTTCTACATGTTTTTTCTATTTTTTCTATTTTTTAGTTTTTTTTTAATTTTGTGCGCCTTTTTTAAAAAGGCATGCACCTTGCCTTGCGCCTCAGGCGCATTTGGAACCTGTCGCTTTTTGTGCGCCTTTCGCTTTTAAAACACTAGGTATGTAGACTTAAGAAGGCTATTTATGGGCTCAAACAATCCCCCCATACATGGTTTGGTAGATTCAGTGAAGTGATGAAAAAGTTAGGCATGAAACAGTGTCAGGATGACCATTCCGTATTCAACTATGAGTCCAATGCTGGGAAGATCCTATTGGTGGTATATGTAGATGATATTGTTATCACTGGCAGTGATAGACCAAGGATTGACAGGTTGAAGACTTACTTGCATGATCACTTCCAAACAAAGGATCTTGGCAAATTAAAATACTTCCTAGGGATAGAAGTAGCGAGGTCCAAGAATGGTATTAATCTATGCCAGAGGAAATATGTCCTTGATCTGCTAGAAGAAACAGGGTTGTTAAGGGACAGACCAGTTAAAACACCCATGGAACCGAATGTTAAGTTGAGTAGTGATGCAGGTGAGGAGTTTGAAGATCCTGGAAGGTACAGAAGGTTGGTAGGTAAGCTGAATTACCTAACAATCACTCAATCCGATATCTCATTTGTAGTTAGTAATAGTGAGTCGGTTTATGCAGAATCCTCAAATTCCACATTAGGAGGCGGTTCTAGATTGTGCGGTACTTGAAGGGAGCTCCAAGTTGTGATTTGTTATATAAGAGTAGAAAAAGTCTTGAGATAGAGGGATACACAGATGCTGATTGGGCCGGTTCCATATCTGACAGAAGGTTCACTACAAGGTATTGCACTTTTCTTGGTGGCAACTTAGTGACATGGAAGAGTAAGAAGCAGAAGTGGTAGCAAGTAGTGCAGAGGCTAAATATAGAGCCATGGCACACACAACATGTGAGCTAGTGTGGTTGAAGCATCTCCTAGAGGAAATGGGGTACTCGATTGACACTCCTACGAAACTATATTGCGATAATCAAGATGCAGTTCATATCTCCTCTAATCCAGTATTTCATGAAAGAATGAAGCATATAGAAGTTTATTGCCATTTTGTACGTGAGAAGGTGCTCAATGGAGTGATAAGTACAATATATGTGAACACAAAAAATCAATAGGCAGATCTGTTTACCAAAGGGTTGAGTCAGAGAAGAGTGGACTACATATGTAACAAGTTGGTACTATATGACATATACTAACCAGCTTGAGGGGGAGTGTTAGAATCGGATGTAGAAGGGTAGTATAGGCTTTTTACATTAAGTTATATGTTAAATGTAATTATCAGTAGATCTTAAGTTAGCTGATGTGACTCTCACTTAACTGAGGGCATAAGAGTAATTCTGTTTTGTTTAGAAAGACATAAATAAAATCTGGCCAACTAGAGAAGTGATCTTTTCTCTCTAGTTCGACTACAACAGTTTCTCTTCTTCTCTTTTCTTCTTCTTCTTCGTCTTATTATTATATGAAATCGTACGGACACTACATCTGAATATTATCAATCTCCACTAAATCAAAACAAGTAAACATTTCCACTTACAAAGGGTGTACTGGTAATTTCACCATCTTTGTCTAGAACAAATTAATTATAGGGTGTCGTTGTTTCATTCTTCAATACACCAATGGAGAAATAAGCATAGGTCATAGTACAGGGGAGGTTTAAGTAATTTAAACATCTTGTTTTTAACCTGGTTGCTTGGGTTACTTTGTGATGGTTGTTTAAGGATCTGGGTTTCTTTTTTATGGCAGTGTTTTTATAGATTTGAGTTCTGCAGAGTTGATTTTAGACATTTCCATTTCCATGGGTACCAACACAAAATATTACTGGAATCAACATATTCTCCAATGAAAATTACTAGCACTATGTGTAGGAGTAAACAAAATGGTATTATAACATGATGAGTTAGCAACAGTATTGTAGATATATTGAGTGAGTATTATAGCCGACCTAATGCAGATGATGTTAAATCGTAGCTTTTATTTGTGTAATAGATTATTTGGTTGATCTATTAGAATAATTTGCACATTCTATTATGTAATTATAACTCGCAAAGTCTACAGGATAACTTTGCAATGCATTATTTTGACTGTTAACCTTAATTGCTTGGCCTTGTTTGAAAGTTTGGAATAAAATAATAAAATAAAAGGGTGTATGTATGCTTCTTTTACCATTTCATAAAATATAATTGTATGTTCTTTTGCATATTTCATAATGCTTCCCTAATGTCTATAATGTTTACAATATTTCCAATCAACATCTCTGACTCTAAAAAGGTGTATTTATGACCGACACTTCCACCAATACCAACATTTTAAAACTTCAATACAACCACATTAAAAGATTTAATTTATGTCCCACTGGAACAGCTATACAACTACAGAACAGTTTCAAATGAGTTTCTAGCTAAGAAAAGCAAGAAATTTTTCTTTATGCAGCAATGTTTTTCTTTTGATAGGTAAGGAATGAGAATAAAGACACTTGAGATGTCTAACAAAGAAAAACAAATAAGCTATTTAGTACACACATGTACAAATGAAAACAAGGGTAAAAGATTTAAATGTCCCCTGAGGTTTTTGATAAATACTAAAATCTCCCCTCCTTTTTCAGTAAGGACTTAAAACCTCCCCAATCTGATGATGTTATTGGACAAATATTACCATCCATTAGCCATCTGTGGTAATATGTTTGTATGAGACATCACGTGTCCCTAATAATGTTTCAAAAACCCAGTTCTGCCACCGTTCAAAATATCCTTCATAATTTTTGTCTACCCTTCTTTCTTCATCATCAAATGTATGTTCCAGCCAGAGCTGCACCCGGCAAACCCATGAAAATCAAATATGAAGGTTCATTGAGTTGAGCGACATTCTAATGTTGTGAGGATGCTTTGTAGAATGAATCTAAAATTGTGAGGATGCTTTGTAGAATGAAGGTTCAACTTTTATCTTTTTTATCGCATTTTATTTTTTTAAAACTTAAATTTAAAATCTATTTCATTTTCTTCATTTCATGTTTCAAGTGCACTGCACTGGGTTAAAGTAGCAGCGGGTTTAATCAAGTAACAGAAAATTACACCAGTACTGTAAATAATACTAAAATGTCCACGATCCAAGAATGAAGCGCTTTAAGAGCTTCAAATCCATAAGAGAAGCTTGCAGCAATCATTGCCCACCAAGGTCCTAATTTTCATCTTCATCGAAATAACAGCTCTCATTAGCAGCTTTGGCCATCTCCAGAATCTTATTGAGATCTTCTTGGAGTTGAGCACCCCATTTAACGAGCTGATTGCAAACACCATGCCCAGACCCATCCCTATAACAAGCTCCCATGGATGCCTCATCTCCATGCTGTCATGCAAGGTAATTTATCAAAGGCATTGAAGTACATCTCGGTTTTTGAATAACAGATTGGAACTTTTATTAAGGGTAAAATAATCATTTTACTGATTCCATTAGATATGACAGTATATTCTTTGACTAGGAAGGTTCAAGTCTTTCAAAAAAGAGAGGGGAGGTTCCAGCATTTATTAAAAACCTCAGGGGAGATTTAGGTCTTTTACCCTAAAAACAAAGCATGACAACTTGTGAGATGATGAATAATTCAATGTCACCTTTGTATCCTTTGTATACTGCAAGATGTTGAATAAGTTTGACATATGCTAGTGCCAAATCAGCAGAACTACAAACATCAAACAGACACAATTCATGTTGGATAGGTCTGTCTCCCTGACTAAATAATATCTCAGAGAAAATAAATAAAGAACCTATTTGTTGTCGATATTACCAAATGATGGTTTGCAAAATTACCTTGAACCATCAGCAAAGCAGGTTGCATAGACCAAAGCATTTAGTCGAGCAACAGGAGCACTGCAGAAAATGAAAATTTGGAAATAAAACAGCATTAAAAATAAAGAAAATAAACAATAACAGGAAATTTTATTTTATATCTAGCTAAGCTTTACATCATTGAGAAAATTATTTTCCAATATGCAAGAATATAAATGTAAAGTAGAATTCAAATCTCCAAAGGAATTTGCCCAATCAATCAAAACTGACATATTAAAGTGCCTCCAAATTTTCTGATAAAAAAAAAGAATAGGGCCCAAGGCCCATATAAGGGAGTCAATATGGTTAAACAAGGTAAAACCATATACCAGTTTAATATTCAGCCTAACTGTAGAATCTGCTGAAGTTAGAGAAGAGGTATATATGGATCCCCCTCCTGATACATTTATTCTTAGAAATGAAGGCAAGATTTGTAAGTTCCAAAAATCTATCTATGGTTTAAAGCAATCTCCATGGACTTGGTTTTGTTAGAGTCAAGTCGAAAAGACAGAGACAAAAGAGAAAAAGAACAAACAGTTTGGTGGGTGTGTCTCCTTGTGACTGTCGACACCCTAAAAGAGATATTTATATTAAAGATAAAAGGACAAGTCTGCCCTTAGTGTATAAAAGAAAGAGTACAGAAAATAGATGTACAACAAAAGAAGTAAAAGTACAAAAATAGCCCTGCAGCTAGATCTTCTCACTGTCTCTACACTCCCCCTCAAACTGATGCCTAGGAATAAGCATCAGCTTGTCTATGAAAAATAGATGTCGAGCCCAAGTTATTGCTTTTGTCAATAGGTCTGCCAATTGGAGCAGGGAGGAGACATGAGGAAGAGAAATAACACCCTCAAGAAGGAGATCGCGGATGAAATTGCAATCAACTTCTATGTGTTTGGTGTGCTCATGGAAGACAAAGTTGGAGGCAATTTTGATTTCACTAGCATTGTTTGCATAGAGAGGAACAGACGGTGATGGTTCATTAAGTATTTCAAGTAAAAGAGCCCAAAGCCATATGATTTCACTACACACGGAAGACATAAATGAAATGGAGATGACTTAGAGGTAGATAAATACAAATCATCACAGCCAAGTATATCTAATTTTTCACCATTTGCAGTGACAATGTGTTTATTGGGAAGATGGGGTTTGGGATATTGACCAAGTGTGGCCCCTGTCATATAGTTAGAGGTTCATGGGTCAATATACCAGAGGTGATTTCGTGAAGGACAATAGGTTGGTGACTTACTAAACAGGCCAATAGCAGAGAAGGCTGAGGAGATGACCAAGGACATGAGTTGTCGAATCCATTCTTCAGACATGCCACTAGAGGTGTCATTTTGGCCAACTACAAAAGTAATAGAGGAGGCATTTGATCCATCTACAACAGTCTAATAGGCCTTGTAGCTTCCTTTCTTCTAATTTGATCCTCCATTTTTTGAGGCCGAGTAGGGCATTCAGTAATGATATGGCCGAACTGCTTGCAATAAGTGCATGTATTCTATTTCTTGCAATGGGAGACAACATGCCAAAACTCCTTACATTCATAGCACTGTACTTTAGAGAAGTCCTTCCCTTTCGGTTATGTTGCCAGGAAGACAACATCAATGTTGGAATCCTAGGAAGTGTTCCATGGCTCAGGATATTAGATCTAACAACTTCAAACTCAAGCCTGAGATGCATTAGAAAATGCATAATCTTCCTTCTATAAAAGTGTTCATATACTTCACGCAACAGTCCGACGGATCCTTTCCCATGTGTACTAACTCATACTTAGTCCAAAGGTTAATAAACCCTACATAGTATTCCTAGACTTTCCTTTCTCCCTGATAATATGAGAAGATGTCAATTACTATCTTGTACTGTCTAGAGGTGTTCAGTTGCTGGTAAACTTTCTCAAGGTACTCCTGCATCTCATAGGCAATCATGTACCCTCTCATAGGGATTGCAATGTCGGTTTTGACTGATCCTAGGATCCATGATGCAATTTTTGCATTGTCGATCTTCCAATGGTTAAGACCCTTAATATCTGAATCATTAGGTTTAGCTACAGAACCATCCAGATATCCCCAAAGACCCTTGGCTTCGACATGGAATTGAAAGTTAAACTACCATAAAGCATAGTTTGTGCCATTGAATTTAATAGGGAGAATCTCCATCCCTTCTGATGAAATTGAAGGACAAAAGACAGCAATGCACAGTTCCAAGAAATCAATAAAATCCAAACCAGAGGGTAAAAAAGAGACTACTTTTCAGCCGAGGTCCAAAGAAGGTAATTGTAGTATTCTGCCAAACTGAAAAGTGGATTGAAACTCTTCAAAATAAAAACTGATGCAAATTAAACCAAAAGGATTCAGTAGATTAGCTCTAGGCGACACCAGATCTAAGATTTCAGGCTAATCCAATGTCTTAATTGAAAAACAGCCCTCTTGATGTATGGAACTGTTTGAGATTAGATGCAAACCAGAAAATAAACAAACAAAAGATGATTAAGAGGACTAAGAGAGAGAGAGAGCTGGCAGCAATGAGAGTTAGAGAGTGAGAGGTTCGAACTCAACCTCCCTCTAACACTCTAAACATTTTATTAAGAAGTTAATCTTTGAAATATTACAAAGAGGCCCTTGAGTGGGCAAGAAAATACAAAAAACAGAACATTACAGAGTATGAGCCCAGAATAAGGCCCATTACAGAGGGAAACATAACATAACATGAAATGACAGTCTATGGGCCATTCGGCCCATCTCCTCTACACTCCCCCTCAAGCTGAGCATAGATGTTAATCATGCCCAGCTTGCCAGTGTCATGTTGAAGCCTTGCCTTGGAAATGCCCTTGGTGAGGAAATCTGCCAATTGTCCTTCAGAAGTAATGAATGGAAGACACACTTCACCGGAGGGACTCTTTCTCGAATAAAGTGTCTATTAACCTCAATATGTCTGGTTCTATCATGTTGTACCAGGTTGTGAGCAATGTTGATGGCAGCCTGATTATCACAGTACAACATCATGGGTTTGTCATGATCAATCCCAAGTTCTTCCATTAAGGACCTTAGCCACAACAATTCCGAGACTCCATGTGCCATGGCTCTATACTCTGCTTCTGCAGAGGATCGGGCCACAACTGACTGTTTCTTACTCCTCCAAGAGACAACATTACCAGCCACCAGACTGCAATACCCTGAAGTAGATCTTCTATCATCAATATTTCYAGCCCAATCAGCATCAGTATAGGCTTCAAGTTTCAGATGACCATGCTTGGTAAATAGAATTCCTTTTCCTGGAGATCCTTTCAGATAGCACACAATCCGTTATGTTGCTGCCATATGAGTATCTCTAGGAGCATGCATGAACTGGCTAATAAAACTGACACCATACGCAATATCTGGCCTAGTCATGCACAGGTACAGAAGCTTCCCAAGAAGTCTCTGAAAGACCCCTTTGTCTTCCAACAAAGTTCCATCCGAAGCTGAAAGTTTGTGACTCATATCAATGGGAGTTGCAGCTGGTCTTGCACCCAATTTTCTAGCTTCAGACAACAAATCAATGACATATTTCCTCTGGGAAATAAGAATCCCATCCTTGGATCT